CAAAAAGTAAAGCCTTTTTCATGGAGATTTTAATCGAGAATTATAGAACTGATGAGGTTTAAAACTTATGTGAGCTGTGCTRTAGTGCAAAAGAAAGAAATCATTTTCAGCAAATAGAAGAGTAACTATGTTTAGAATCTATGTTTAAACTATGATTCTATGTGTTTAACTATCATCAAGATAGTGTCCAAATCAGTAATCTACGAGTTCGTATCAATCTAAAAAAAAMWAGKTTTTGTATTCTAGTTTCCTCAAGCGAATTGACAGAAATGGAAAACGCATTTTGTGCGATTAGGAAGATTATATCGACATTGAGACCTTATGTATGAGATCTACGAATACGACTGTAGAACACACCGTTTTTAGGGGTACGTAAAGTATACGGTAGTTGAGTTGAACATGAACAAAAGATTAAACTTACCTTACCCACTRCAAACAACTAAATGACGATAAGCAGGGCCACTAAGTTTCTCTTGTTTATGTAATATATACAATATGAGCGGGCGATCTGTATGTAATATACAACTCTCTTCATGGGCTATGATTTCTATTGTGTTTTGCCTTATTGTATTGATACATTGTTATTATACATTCTCGTTGCTCATTTGTGGTCTAGAAACCTGGGTTCTACTAGAGTAACTACGATTTCAATATTTGAACAGCTTTTATTCCTGTAAATCCAGCCCATAATTCCTTTCGGCCACTGATAATATCCATCGACATTTCATAAAATCAACCTTTTATATAAACTGCTGAAATATCACAATACATGAGTATAAATAGACGATTAAATGTTCCAAAAGTATGTCACGTGTCCTCGTGGATTCTTACTATTTATATTCGCGTGTACGCATTGCTTTTTTGGAAAAATTCATCAGGAACAAAGAACTCGGGAGGTCGAACTTCGGACTTTGATCTTGGGCGAAAGTTCTTGTCTTTTGGAAGGGTCAGCGTTAGGGTTTCTTTCGTTGTTTTTGGTGAATAACTGCAAGGTGAACCAGTGGAGTCTATCTTGACAGGAATATGCGCCATACCCTTGATMGTTAAAGAGAGTATTAATAAAAATATGAAACAACTCTAGATTTGTGTACTTTGGGGTTTAGATTGTTTCTGAGTCCAGTCAATTTTCTTTGTGTTTATCTCTCACTATTTTTATKTCGTGAAATTCTGTTGCATTCACGTATTTATCAATGAGATGTTGTTTATTAATTGGTATGACTCATGGAGAGTTTGCGTTGCATGCTGACCTTCCCCTTGGACCGGCTCTAAATAACAATCTTACCTAAAAAAAGTCGTGCGCACCTTATTATCAAAACGTCGTCTGCTTCAAAAAGATTACATCATCGAAGCTAAGACCGAAAGGGAGCTTGGGAAGACTSATAATTAATATAATATTATGGGTATGATTGCCTTTTAAGGCTTATCGATCATGGACTTCGTTTAATGATATGCATGTTCGTTAACCAAGCCTGGCGTTTTTCAACGAGGTGAACACATGTCAATGATGTAGACCTACCAGATGATCTTTTAGATGATCTATAACAAGACTTCTATTGGCCAACTCTTTCTTTAAATCATCTCTCTCTTGAAGTAAGTTATCTCGTTCCAACTCAACTGCATTACGTTCACACCTCAAGCGGTCACAATCACGAAGAGCATCATCACGCTSACTTAACGCAGCATCACGCTCCTGTGTGAGGTACAAAGATGGCAAAAAAGTAGTGGTTACTTTGAAAACTAGTGCATGTAAACTATAAACTACATTCTATAAATTGAATGAAAAATTGCTAATGAAAAGTCTTTTATTTAAAAAAATCTTTTATTACCTTTTTTAGATCCTCCATTTGTCTTTTTAGGTCTGTATCTTCTAATGTAGCTTCCTGAACAAGACAAAATTGATTTCATTTCTGTTAGTAGAGGGGTTGGATGGTTGGATGGTTGATTGGTTAGTAGAGGTGGTTTATTATAGGTTGCTTGCTTGCTTACTGGTTGATTAGTTGTTGGTTGCTTCGTAGAGTTTGCTGCCAGTTGGTTTATTGTCGATTGATTGGTGGGTTGATTGGTTAGTAGAGTTGGTTAATTGTCGGTTGGTCGGTCGGTCGGTCGGTTGGTTGATTGGTTAGTAGAGTTGGTTAATTGTCGGTTGTTTGGTCGGTCGGTTGGTTGGTTGGTTAAATGGTTGTTAGGTGGTTGGTTCAGTGGTTGGTTGGTTATATGGTTAGTTAAGTGGTTGGTTGGTTGGTTCATTGGTTGGTCGGTCTGTCGGTCGGTTGGTTGGTTGGTTGGTTAGCTGGTTCGTTGGTTGATTAGTTGGTTGCTTGGTCGGTCGGTAGGTTGGTTGGTGGTTCGGCTGGTTGGTTGGTCGGTATCATTGGTTTATTGTCGTTGGTTGGTTGATTGGTCAGTTGATAGAATGGGTTGGTTGTTTGGTCGGGTGGTCGATGGGTCAGTGTGTCATTGTTTGGTTGGTGAGTTAGTGTGGTCGTTTGATGAGTTAGTTGTGTCAGTGCAGGGTAGGTTGGAAGTGTAGTTGTATCATTCTGTATATATTTCTATTCGTTTCGTCTATTTACCTCATTGTTTTCTCCATCCAAGAAGGTGAGAACTCGTTTCATTACGGACTCATCCAGATACCAATCAAACGCGGTTGTCTCTCTTCGCTTTGTTTTTTCTTTTTTCTTTGACTTTGATTCCTTTGAACCATTCTGTGGTTTTGGGGTTTCATTATTGTCATCATCGTACGAATCAGACTTTGATCGAGCTCGTCTCTCTGTTACCGAGACTCGTTTAGTTGGCGGTGTTGTAATGATGAGACCCTGAGGGCTGGAGAGGAGACACTTCTTTAACGAGACCTCAGGTTCGGATCTACTGCGCTCAGAATCATGCTCTTGCTGTGGAAACCCAGATGCATCTAAAGATGACGCCTTGTATAGCTTTGGAGTGCATTGACCATCAACGCCTCTATTGAAATCAAAAATATTTCTTCTTGAGTTGAAGAGACGTGAAGAAGGACGGTCCTCCTGATCAGCTCGTCTTTGTTCAAAGTATTTGTGAGAGGAACCACGAGCGACGATTCTTCTTAATGGCGAATCAAGATCACAGCCACAGCTACTGCTACCCGTTGTACTACTAGTAGAATAGCTTGAGAAGCTACTGTCACGACTTAAAGATTGTGAATTATCGTTTGTGTTATAACTGCTGATGGATCCACTGTCTGCAAGACTGCATTTACTGCCGGAGTTATTACTACAATCGACCATTTTGCTTTCTAGCGTATTATGTTGTTGGTTTGGAACTTTCAAGGTTGTACTGTTCATAGTACTTGAGTGTTTTTATTCCCGTTGGTCTATGCACTAATAACTTGGAATTCCTTGTCCGAATGGTCTTTTGTTATCACTGACAGTCAGTCAACATTTCTTTATTATAGAAGTCTTATCCTGTGTGTTTATTGGCTAATAATATGACGTCATAACGCAGTAACTTTTCAATTTATCATCTTAAGATATCAACAGCGCTACTTAACGGTAAAAACCTGCTTCAATGGAGCTTAAAGATCGTCATTTTAAAGCTTTAAGTCTTCGCTTTGCGAGGAGCTTTTGTTAGCTTGCGAAATTTGAATTTTTTTGTGCAGAATTGTTTGCTTAGGTTAGCGACATAATGGAGTACCATCCCAAACAAAGGTAGCTCGTGTCGTTTCCCTAACGAAAAACAGCAATCAATATTTTCAAAAAAAACTTAAAACACGCCTTGGGRTGCTTTACCGGAATGGAATATTGAATTCAAGAGTGTGATAACACAATTATCACACATGACGTCATAGAAGTTGTACCAGGACTTCATCCGCGTCGTCAGAATTGATCTTGAAATTTCTTTCTAGAAAAAATATTATAATCAAGATTATTGATTCAAAATCACTTGAAAATTCTTAAGAGCATTCTAGAAGAGCGATTTTGCTGCGTCATTTCATCTCTAGACAGGCTATCGTCATGATTTGAACATAACGACCAAAATATTGACATAAACTTTGCAAAGCTTCATACGAAAAATCCGGCATCATTTTCCCTCGATTCAAAAGTGTAATTTCAACCAAGGTGAACACAGTGCCAACTCCCTAATGTATATTATGTAACTATGTATTTGAATACTAGGGCGTGCTAAAGGGAACTAACAGCATTGACAAATAATTGCTTTAAGAACTCCTACGTGTTTAAGCTGATGAAACGGTCTTTCTCCTCTCTTCCTGTGCATGGAACTTCAATTATGTTATAATTGTACACTGAGTCAACAATTGCGACACGTGGAAGCTTACCGTAAATGCTGCGTATTGTTCATACCTCACGTAGACGTAATACTATTGTTCTAAGGCAGTCCGTAATACAGAAATTCATCGCTGAATAAAATGTTAGAAAAAAGCGCGCGAAATACTGAAGCTGARMGCTGTCAGTTGACAGCAAAGATMGCGTTGCGCCGTTTTTGATTTGCAGTGAAAGATTTGATCGGTTTACCTTGTAAAATGAAAAGTAATTATGAGAATTTTGGACTTTAATCCTCTAAATCGCCTACATCAATAACTAACTTGTGTTTATTTACAGTCAAAACCAACTGTTTTACATTCTCCTCAACTAGTCTGCCAAACAGGAAGTTCAACTTCTTACCCTTCTATATACTAACTATAAACATCTAGTACGGAGGTTGTGTTCCGATTTATGCGCATGCGCAATCCCTCTTTTTTCAAACTTCCTTTCTATAACGCATGGGAGTAAGTTTACTAACTTTGTTAGACTTTGCATGCTTTTGACTCTTTGGAATTTAGATAGATTGAATAAGACAGTCATTAGTTTTCAACATTTTAATTTCCAAAAAATAAATACTTTAAGGTGTAAAAATAACTTATTGCATCTTCATATCAAAATACATTAAAATTCAGGTCCCTAAACTACATTTGTTTGTTGTTGTTTTTTTATTTTGGACTGCGGCATTTATCAGGTTTCAAAATCTTGATGTGCTTGTAATGCCGATTTCACGTTCAAGTGATTCAAATTTTCAAGTGATTCCAACCATGGCCGACAATTTGTTTAACTTTGTGCCATTCAGTACAGAGTCTGTTTTTGAGAAAAGTCGTATGCCTATCTTCATTCCTCTGTTAGCTGCCCACTTCTATTGCATTTATAGTCGACCCATCGATACTGCTCTTTTTACGCCCTAAAGCTGCACCGTTAACGCTTCCCTGTGCGCTGGACATGACGCTTAAAGAGTCCACTTCTCTTCGGTCCTGTTAAAAGAAATATTGTCTTGTAAGACTGCAGTGTCTTCCTAAAGACCTTGAATTGATAATAACCAGCAAAATACAGAATCTAAATCCCTGCAACCTTAAATTTTGCTTGGATTTCAACACATTTTCAAGTGGCAAATTTTAATATAAAAATACGATAGGAATGAAAATCGATTATATGTAATAATAATAATAAKAATTCCTACTTAAGATATATAATGATTTATATAAAATTAAAGACTCTCTTACCTTCCATCTCATGCCATCAGACACTGAGAATGTCGCTTCGGTGCGCGACTGGCCAACAGCAGGACTGACCGGGGGTAGGACGAGTGTTTCTGTCACAGCTTGGTATTTGACAAACTCGTTATAACGTCTTTGAAGACTTTTTTCTTGTTTTGTTGCTATTGGAAACGGTACCAAATCAAATTACATGCGTTGATACATGATGATTATTATTATTTGAGAAAAAGTTATAATTTCCCTTAGCGATAGTCATTTGTACTGATGACGTCATGTATATTTTTGCTAAGTGCATCATGGTATTCAAGATGGCGGATCTATAATAAAAACTTCGGCTGAGACGACGAGATTTCAAGATKATTAAGAAAAAAAAWAACAGGGCTGCAAGCCTGAGCATACTCAACGACTGGAACTGGTAAAGAAATAAAAAATACTTGATTAACGCTTGCTGTTTGCGTAGAACAGACCAAAAAAACATGTCTTCACTTTGTACTTTCGTCAGTCCCACAATGCAGTGGCGGATCCAGGGGGGGGGGTTCCATGGGTTCCTAGGAACACCCCTCGAGCATAAAAAATAAATAAAATAAATGATAAATGAAATGTGGATGTCTTTACATTTGCTACAGTTCGAGAGGCACAGTAAAAAAAGTTCGTTTTAGGAAATTGCGAAAACAAAGTGGAACCCCCCTTTGAAAAATCCTGGATCCGCCACTGCAATGTATCTCTATAAATATCACACAACATTAGATAAAAGGAAAATTGCTTTCTTACGTGGTAGTTTCGCACCACCTTCAAATTCAAGTGGCTTATATTGCTTGCAGAAGCCTGCCCAATAAGGTAGCAGTTCCTTGAATAAAAGAGCTTGTGCTTCGTCGAACAAAGCAGGGTCCTTGTGCTCTCGAGAGGCTCGCTTGGCCGTTGAAAACGTCTGGGCTTTGTGTATTATCCTGGCTGCTAACTCAGAGCCTATGTCAATCTAAAAATGCATAAATAATAACTTTAGAAAGGAAATATTTTATTAAAATTGTACGAATGCAAAATCGTSATATCTTAATCATTTCCTAAAAAGCAATTAATATTTTCATAAGTATACAGCCGATTTTGATTGAAAATAGATGCTTCGCAAGTCAACGTAAAAAGAACTTCATCTAGCAGATAAAACAGAAAACTTTTGCTCCTCGGATGTGGCATGAATTGCAAGAGGCCTGGTGGCCAAACCACGACGTTTTGATGTCTTTTCGATTTGGCRTCACCATTCAGCAAGTCTGAAGATGTATGTTTGACCCTAGCAGTACAACTTTCGTCCTAAAAGCGCTACTAGTAAGGTCATACCTGGAGCCATGGAGGCGTCGCCGAGTCAAGAAAACACTCGATAATGGTTTCGACTTTTCTGTTTAACGAAGTCTGAAAGCATCAAATACAAGAGATTACTACAACAATAACTACTATCATAATAATAGCGACGATGTTAACAGCAGCAACAAAAACGACCAGAACAACTTTGACCAACGATGACTTGACTTTTCTAGGTCATAGCAGAAACAAAATCGACCAGGACAACTCTATCAGACAGCAACATAAGAGATTTAACATCCACTAATAACAGCAGCCTAAGACGACAACAACCACAACAATATAGAAACAACATTGATCAACAACAACCTTTCCAAGACAGAATGACAAAAYAAGGCCAGGGARGAGAACAAAATTTTCTTCGGTCAGAGGAGTGTGCAAGGCATATTAGGTTAGACGTGTGGTATTGTACAGGAATGTTTTATCAATATTGTACAGTAATATTTTATCAATATCATAGATACTCACGTCATCCAAGTAGTTAAAGAGATCCTGCAAAGAGAAATTATAGATAGCATTCTTAAAAATCGACTGACATACTAGAATCAAGAATGTGTTGGCATAGTGGCTTAATCCTCTTTCACTTTGTTTTTTATTATTATTTTTTCCTTAAACGTTGAAAACAGCCCACCTTTAATTTCTGCACTTCGAGATAGAAAAACAGATCGTTCTCCAGCTTGGGGAAGCTGTCAGGGTCGCCGTGGTTTTGGAGATATCGACGGAATAATTCCAGCTTCACGGGAAGCCGACCTTGCGTTGATTGTAAAACACGCTTGAATTCTTCTCGATCTTCTTTAGAAGGCTGGACACGCCCTGTATTCTACGATTAGGACAGCGCATCGTCAAATTGATGTATTCTTACTATAAATAACACTCAGCCTGGTTCTGATGGTTCCGCAGCACAATTTCATCTGGTCTTCGCAGAACAACAGCGTTGAGTGATAGTAAAAATCACATCGGTTTCAAATCATGAACATTATAATCAATTTTAATTCAATTTTTCTTTATTTGAATAGAAATTTAGTATAATCAGAGTATTGCGAATATCAGTGACTCCGCTTACTTTGCTTTTCCTCTGCGCTTTTCGTCTGTAAAACTGCAGAAAACTTTGCTGCCCGTCAAGACCATCCACTTTACTGCCTTCTTTAGGTGTATTAGGAACTGTGCCATCATGACGTTTAGACTCTTGAGTCTGATTTACAAGAAAGCAGTTTTAAAAAACATTCAGTTGTGAAACGAGGCCATGGCCGGGATGCTTAAAGTGGACTGGCGGAGATGCCATAATTAATTAAAGCGATGAATATGTATTTATGTGAGGAACTAAAATAATAAAGCCAAAGCTGATTGGAGGAAAGCAAAAATAATATACAAATGCAGGAGTACATAACCAGAAGTGTCCATGTTCTGTACTTCTGACAAATGGGATAAATGAACAGATGATTACGGAATAAATTACTAAATAGATGAATGAATTTACCTTAAAGAAAGATTTGAAGTATGTTTCRACATCAGACCGAACTGCTTGCTGAGCCTCAGTAAGAACAGGCGAKGTCGGACGCTCTGCTTCGATTTTACCCAGTAGTTGAGAGGGAAGAGTCACTGCCCTGGAATACCAGTAGAATAATAGAATTTAGTCAGAGACTTATCAGGACATACGCTGGCTTGGATTTCGCATCACTACGTTTTTTGTCTTGGAATATAAAAGGTATCGTCTATGGCGGTGAGTATGTGATTTTAAATGGCTTTATATGCAATTTAAATTTAKGAACCAACCTCGTTCCCAGGGTCTTTTTTACTCGGYATTTACAAAATACAAAATGGCGGACACTAGTACGAGCGACGCCATTTTGAAAACAAGAAAAAACGAGGGGGGAGATCCTGGGGAGGAGGTTTACGCGTGTGAAATAACTAGCTATTATCTCTGTGCATGTGTTGACTTACCTTCGCGAAGCCGGATCAAAAAAAGTCCTGTCAACATAAAAAGACACGTGGTAAGAGCGATCTTTCTCTTCYTAATCCTACTCTAGCTGTACCAGCACTAATCAAATATTTTATCTTTCTCAGATATAGAGAAGAAAACAGGGATACCGCACTATTAAAGTGTARGTAAAGTATAATTTCACTTAATTGATATTAACTAAAGACTGACGTACAGGAATGCRATACTGATGGGTTAGGACAGCTCCTTCGCAACTGTTATCAGTGTCCGTCCCAGGCCCTCACTGAAAACGACTGCGAAGGAGACTAGRACATTCAGCACACCAAAGAAACTGAAGACACCTGAAGTCAAACCACTGCGCAACCTATGCAACGTCCAATCTTTGACAATCTCATATCAGAGCAACGGTTTCTGTATATAAACAAACTTACTTATAAATATTAGAAGACTGTTGGGCTTTCTGCATTTTCTTCGACGGTAGAATAGTGTTGTATTGCTCGATTTCAAGATACATGACAAGCTGATTGAATGCRTGACGCCCTTCCATGTTTTGAACGTACTGCTTGAAGGAYGCCATTGTCCTGGACAACAACGCRTSATAAAGTTAGTGTATAGTTCGTGTATCTATCAAAGGCMGARGCGATGGCAGTACATGTATTTCAGTGGATTCAAAAGACTTGTACCCATTCGTTACATGTTATTGGTAGAAATAGAAGGGTTTGATGGGAAGAAAAAAGAAAACTCAACGCGCCTCAAGATTTTGCTGTATCCTTCCCTTGATGCATCGTGCGCCGTGTTAAGGAAAGGTGTTGGAAAAGGTGTTGTTTTCTTGTTTTGTTGTTGTTGTTTTTTAATTTTTACTCACCCTTTATTGTCAACCACATCAACAAACTCCGGTACAACCGGTTGGACCGGTTTTTCTGGTTTATCATCAGTTGAGTCTGAATCTTCCTCTTCAGATGTACTAACAGTTGTAGCTGYTTTCTTTTTCCGTCGAATAACCAAATTCTTGTTAGTTTTCGATTTTCTTCTGTTTTTATTTCCCTTGCTCTTCTTTCCTGTAGTTGACGGTGGAGGGAYGTACGAGCGTTTAGGAGAGGACGAAGATGAACGTATCGCATCGCACTCCTCCGCCATTGCTAGAGATGTGTACAGTCGACGGCCACGTTCAGAGGGTGAGGAACCAGGATGTCTTTAAAAAAATGATATCAAAGTTATCATATAATGCTGTTATGTGATACTGTAACACCAAATAAGGAGTTACCTTTTTACCCATCGGCCTGTGGTGGGAGAGTAGTAATGATTGTCTTTTGATCCTTTAGCGACCTGGGACGCGGTTGGTGATGGAATTCGTTCTGATGCCATACTCCGTGGAGGTCTGGTACGAGATAATACGTTTCAATCRCAATTAAGGTACGTCACAACACAATGGAGATTTTTACAAGTCAAAATATTATATTTGGTGAAAATATTACAACAACGACTAATTTCTCAGGCTTTTATATATATATGTTTTGTGCTCTTACCTGCGATATCTTTGTTGGTCGAAATCCTTGAAATCCTCCCATGTGACCCTTAGCACTCCGATAATGAAATTCTACAACATAATGTTAGACTTAATATCATTACACCATAAATTAATGTCTTATTGATTTGATGTTAAACTCCTCTCAACTTTACCCATGCTAAATGTGCTGCACAAAGCGCGATATTATCAGAAAATGATGTTTTATATAATCATATTTATTTATACATTTTACCTCGACCGAGGCGAAGAGGTTGGTTGGAAGTTCCTCACTTGAATGAAGAATACTTTCTATCCGYCTTCGTTCGGTTGGATGAAGACCTATGTTTAATTCAGACCCTAAAAAAATGAGAAATAACAATGAATGGAATGAGATGAACGGATGGATGGGATGGTAGTAAAACATGAACAAATGAGTGTTACCGCGCCGCGCTTCACGTAATTCCATGCTACGCTAAAAACATTTATTAGTGTCTGTGCACCAACCTGTAGCTAAATATCTATTAAAGATATTCCACGCRTTGCATCGACTTAGGTAACGATCCCCTGAACGCTTCTCTGCAGCAGTAAATTCTTTGACATCGAGCCAGAAACTAATGTGCGCTAAAATGGTCTTGTCGTGACTAAATAGGAAGATAAATTGGAAATGAAGAACCATGTGGGATAGGCTCAGAAATCATGTACGAGCATGCGCAATCGGTGAAATACGAGTTTCTGGATTCGAGCACAAACAAGATTTACCTTTGGAAATATCGTTTTATGGATGTCATTGATACCGTTTGAATGTTAAATGATGAACCATGTGGGATTGACTCAGAAATCATAATGCGAGCATGCACAATCGATCGGTAAAATACAAGATTCTGGATTAAGTATGATCAATAATTACCTTTGGAGATATCGTTTGAAGGGATACCCAGCGTCTTTTTCGGCCTTAAGTGCTGACATAAATGGATCAATCGCTTGACTAAAAACATTAAACAGTTTAAGTGGTATCCAAAAAATCTTTTCTGTTAAGTTTAGTTTAGCAAACACGTTTGAAGGACACAGAGAAGTATCTGCTTTTTTTGTAATTCAACATGAATTATATCCTAGAAATACAGTACTCACCCTTCTGGGATGACATTCAGCCGCTGACCAACGGACTTTCGTCTTTTGTCTTTGATCAAGATATCGCGGTCCCATTTACGAAATCGGATCATTTCTCGGCACCAGTCTCCGAGGGGTGGTATTGAATGAACCAATGACAAGGAAGGAAAGAAACTGAGACTTGAGTTTGGTCGATATTGATCACGTGGGTTGACTTGCGAAAAATAGTCTTCYCTGAAAAGCCAATTTCGTTATTTCGTTTTTCGGAATTTCGCTGATGATACATGATATCACTTATTCATGAATAACTTTATCCAGACGATATCGTCTGAACTTTACCTGTAATCTTCGTTCCTTTCCAAATGAACCAAAAATCTCGGTACCCAATAAGATCGTAATCTACGCAACATATCGTACTGCGTCCTCGTAAACAAATCTTGCGTTACACCTCCATGATACAACGCTCGYTCGATCTGCTCCTAAAATATTAAACATGCATAATGACCTTCACTACTCGGACACCTGATACAAAACGGCCACTATCCTATGTAGAGCGACCATCSTTAAATTGAATGTATTGGGCGATCGGTTAAACGAGGTCCTTGCACTAACCTTAGCGTCTGGTGTAAGGTAGTTCTTGTGTTTGTCTTGAATTTCTCTGATGAAACAGTGAAAATGGCCCGTTAAAAGTACATGTAATGAAAACGGTAATATTGCTTACCAAAGGATGATGACTCGAATAATAAATACGAAGACCAGTCTTACCTAAATAATCTTGTCCTATGTTCCCTCGTGCTCTCTTCAGGCTCAGACTGTAAACTATCTTTGTACTGCTCCACGTCGAGCCAAAAGTCGTACAAGTGAATTCCAACTGTGTCYCCGAGAAAAGCTCGAAAAAGTGTCATCCCTTGAAGCTGAAATTTGAAAGTTCATTCTATCATCAACTTTACTTCACATATTTTATTCCTTTTTCGTCCATTTCGATTAGTATTTTTTTCATTTCTTAGAGTAACAGTACAAGTCTTACCGATCCTAAAGCTTGTTCCTTGAGTTCCTGTAGTGTGATCTTGTGTTTTGAGGCTATACTTTTAGCGTCAGCTTCCGTTTGCGCGTCGTCAGGCTCCTCAAACTCCATCACTGCTCGCAACTCATCTTCAGCTACACCCTCGTGCTCTGATTCTGTCTCTGAACCATTGTTGTTGTCCTGGGCGTGAACTCCTAGAAATGAAGACAACACGACTCAATACCACTCCCTTGTCAAACAACAACGTCCTCAAATTTGGCCTGGTTCTAGCGTGAAAACGATCTTCAATTTGCTCTAAGTTTACCTTCTATTCCATCGTTATTCATTTGTTCTACTCTTGAATCTCCTTCTTCTATGCTGTTAATATTTTTATCTGAAATGAGGCAATTGTTTTCAGTATTCAACAGCGTAAAAGTTGAAAAGGGTTCCTTGTTGCGATCGTAACAAGTTCTAAAGAAAATCCAATGACGGCATGTTTTTTTTATGCAGTGACTACACCCGTGCGTCATCACCGTTTTTGAGTTTGGAAAAGACAAATTACAAGCTATGCCAACTTTAATCATACGATCAGAATTRAGTTAGATTAACGTCAAAGTACAATACCAGTAATATCGAGTTTTTGCATTCCGTCTCCTATGTTCTCCGTGCTTCCATCTTCGCCTAAAGCCAACCTTAACATTCCCGGCAARCTTGTCGCACTACCCAAGGGGCGACGACCGAAATGYTTTATTGGAACTCCAGGCCACGATCTGTTKGAAACGTTACTCGATGGCCGGTTGGCYTGGGGCGAGTAGACCGCTGAGCTTGTTGCTCTGCTATAACCTCTTAAGCCCCGGCTGCTTCCTCGGGCGGTCGACCGGAAGTCTTTTAGTTTCCGCAGAAGAAGACGGCAGAGCTTGAACTGAAGATAAAGCTTTGTCCTGAAGAGAAACAACATTTAACTTATCAAAAACGGTGTACTATTTTCAGAGTCAACAATCTTTTTTTACCTCAGAAACAACGGCAACCTTTCTTTCTTGACCCATTTCATCACTTTTTCTCTCTGTTTTGCTTCGCTCTCAGCATCTTCACTGGGAGCCAGYGTATAAGACTTTTGCTCTTTGGATGCATCTTGAAAAGTTCCTGATATTGACTCATACTGCACAATTTTTGGGAAGGCCTGTAATGTATCAAGAAAAATATTTAAAATGTGCTTTGCCACCCTGCTTTCCCCTTCCCCCTTTGCCACCCCACCCCCCACCCACCCCTACATTTTGACTTATTTCMTTGGCTCTTACTATGCCAAAGATCCGGGTTACATGATTTCTAATAATGAAACTCTGTTGATTTACATAGTTTCCATATTCATCTAGTGAGGATGGTCTGGGAACAAGAATTTCAATATAGAAGACAGATCAACACAGGGAGCCCAAGCTGGAGTGCAGGACAATCATTTAAAAAATATATAGAAAAAGGAAATAGAATTATCAGAAACATCTGAGCATGATATTGGTACTGTGTCCATGATATGCCCATGTGACCTTCCAGTTACACTTCACTGAGCTATGACATATAGACCCCTTGCATGTGACGTCAAAKCAGCTTCATCTGGAGGACAAAACAAAAGATTTTTGCCCTCTTGGGAACTAGAATCTATTCATTTGTCCTCCAGCTGGAATTGCATTCTCACAAACTGCAAGGGGTCTATTCAAATGTTTAGTCAAGTCTTCCATGTGGGATTTTCCAGTCTTTTGCACATGCTCTTTGTCACTGTTCATACTTGGTGTCCAAGCACAGTGTTTGGATCTTGGCACTAGTACAAACATTGCTCTTTTACTGTGTGCTATAGAGTTCTTGTGTGAACGCGTTTATATCAGTGCCAAGTYGCAGGTGCATGTACACCAAGCGTAAACGATGCCTTTAATGTTATTGATGTTCATTTAATACATATTAATACATCACTATAGCACTTTAACTTTCTTTCATTTCTATATATCGTTAATACATCATAATAGGATACTCACTGGCAAAGCTAGAAAAGCATTAAAGTATTCCACAAAAATCTCATCATAAACAAGCTGGTGTTCAAAGGTATGTTCAGTTACTATAATTCCTGAAACAAAATACAAAATATTGAATTAAGGGATGGATAAACTAGAATAATTTTAATAATAGTAATAATAATAATAACAATGAACTGATTTTAGAAATAGCACGAGAGAACAATCAAGGATCTAAAATTTATTATTATTATTATTATTATTAAAAATTATTGTTATTTTTATTATTATTTCATAAATAAAATATTACTTATCATTATATTGTAGAAAATGTATGGTATTTCAATATTAAGAGGTTATTTTCAAAGACGTTGTTATCACTTAAAACTTATTATAATTACAATTATAATTATTCTATTTTATTATTTTATGATTAAAATCATTATTATTCACATTCACAATAATAAAATAGCAAAATTATAATAATAAATACAGTGTATCTTAAGCCGATGTATCATTGCCGTGAAWAATAAATTACAATTTCTAATCATTTGTCATTTCCGAGGTTCAAAGTCCCAAGTAAATCAAGTTTCAAAATTCCAAGTATTAGAATTTCGMCATCTTCGGCAGCTGTCAAAACTTAGGTACCTCATTTAGTTGAAGATCGTAATTGCTCGGCCTAATAGAAACAATCGTATCATAATAGCGCCAATGTCTAGAACGGCTGCTAACTTACAATCTCAACTTTCATCCTATAACTCTGTAACTAAGTCAAGAAATCACTGCATTCGATACATCGCTAAACAATACCTCTTGAATGTCACCGATATGATATTGTATTCAAATTCTAATTCACAGACTATGGTCTAGGTGTCACAAAGTTCTATAAGCGCCTAAAATCAAAACTATAACATTCTTCTTTAAGGCAAGATGATAAATTTTAGAATCAACTCGATTCTAAATAGTTAAATCTAAATAATAAAATTACACAAAGGCCTCACAGACAGATAACTCGTGGCACTTCGGAAGTCAACAATTCTCGGCATGCGGTATAAGTTTTCCTACCTTTCATACTTTTTGGCTGGAATAATTCATCCTCRATTGTATTAACTTAACTTAAAGTATCTCAATTTTGATAAAATACTCATTTTAAAATMATTTCTGAGGCAATGTGTCTCTAATGTAAACAGTTCCTACGACCTGACGGGCAATACACTTATTCATCTCCTAGGTGACGCTAACGCATATTTGATGTTGTTAATTAACTTTGGCTGAATAGTAATTAGACACAGGAAGCCCGTAAGTTAGTGTTGCGTGACACTCAGGCAGACATGAGTCAGATCGAGGTATGTAGTTCATTCCACTGAMTTTTTTCGCTGTTTTCACTACTTTTTGCAAGCAAGTAATCTTATGACTATTATAATAGGTTATTTTAAGGCCGAATCGTGATTTTTAGCTTAGCAGTGTCTTAAAATCTTCGCGTATTGTAGAATGCATTGTTTGAATTGCTCGCTTATCGAAATAAGTCCGAGAATGCATTCCACACAGACAAAATAATATTTCGTTTGGGTTTTTGATTTATATTTCAATATTTTCTACTCAGAAGGTGGCTGTCATAGCTTGCGTTGTAGGGGATTATAACTAATCTTTTGAATGCTGTTCTCTTTTKAATTTTACGACAATAATATTCCATCTGTGTCTACCGTATTTTCAGAAAGGAATCTTAGAGAGGCTCGATGCCGGTGAGATAATTATTGGAGATGGTGGGTTTTCCCATGCTTTGGAAAATCGTTGTTATGTCAAGGCGGGAGACTGGACACCAGAATGCGTCATCGASTTCCCAGATGCAGGTATCCCGATAAAATTTGACTACTCTCAAAATTTCAGACAAACCGGCTTAGCCTCGAGTCTATGTATAAACTGATCAGTTGATAAAGAAATTGAGTTGTCTTGTAAAAACAATTTTAATGCAAACGTTTCGATCGCGTGCACGCTTTGCATTTTGCCACTGCACTGAAGATGATCGAAGTTGCGATCGAAAGGTTTGCATTAAAATTGTTTTTACAAGCTAGAGACAACTCAATTTCTTTATCATGCAACATCCTAGCTGCAATTTCAAAATAAACTGATCCGTTACTCTATTGTTTTTCTATCTTAGGAACGAGGCTATTCACGCGGCCTTTATTGAAATTTTGTCAATAAAACATTGTGAACGCGACATCATTTCAGTTGAACAAAATGTATTTCTTTAGTTAGGCAGCTTCATCGTGAGTTTCTTAGAGCAGGATCGGACGTGATGCAGGCCWTTGCTTTCTCTAAGATAGATGGACAACTAGATATAGATGGCAAAACATATCAGGTACTGATATTCAATGTATTTGGGAATGAGATTGTTCTCCTAAAATACATCGTTCCGTCCGCCTATTTCTTTATTATGTATTTTTTCCTTCCCGTATTCATTCTTTCCCTTTCATCCATTCATTCATGCATTCATTTATTTATTATTTCAAAGTGGCAAGATATCAACAAGGCCGCCTGTTCATTAGCTAATCAAGTAGCAGGCGAAGGTGTTCATGCCCTCTCTGCTGGCTCGATTTGTCAATCAGGGAGAATGTATCGATATGGCAAAACCACTAAAGAACAATTACAACAAAAGTTCAGAGAGCAAGTCAGAGTCTATGTGGAAAATGGCGTGGATTTTTTTATCGCTGAGGTGAAGTATTGAGCCTTTTTTTCAAATTAAAAACCCTTTTTTTATTTTCTCATTCTGTCTCACCATGTCATCAGTTCTTTGAGTATGTAGAAGAGGCTGAATGGGCGCTTGAAGTCATTAAAGCCAGCGGTAAACCTGTTGCCGTAACCATGGCGATTGGACCAGAGGGAGGATTAGATGGCGTGTCACCRGGAGAGTGCGCAGTTCGTCTCGTTCGTGCAGGTATGGGGAAAAGGGAGGCAATAATGAATACTGATGGTGACTGCAGTGGTGGTGGTACTAGAGCGGATTCGTATGAGTGGGACACGGTTACCGCACAGTTACCGGACCTGGCCTGCACAATTTTGGTGAACCAATGGGGCACTAGAATTTGGTTACAGTACTATTACAGTCACAGTACAGTACCGTCCATTTCCCACTCATACGAAATCCGCTCTAATAGCATAGTTATGGTGATGATGATGATGATGAAGATGATGGTGATTAATAATCGGTAGAAAGAAATATTTCATGAAAATATCACTAGAAAATGACGATGAAAATGATTATGATGATAATATTATCGATTATATTTAGATTTAATATTAAAATGTTTTTGTAATTCCAAATTGCCATCATATTTGTGACTGCTGTTTTAAGGAGCTGACATCGTARGCGTAAATTGTCGCTTTGACCCAGAGATTTCGTTAAAGACAATGAAAGAAATGATAGACGCGGTAAAAAAACAAGACCTTAAAGCTCACTTTATGGTTCAACCATACGGCTACTGGACTCCTGACGCTAACTCGCTGGGTGCTTATGGTCTGAGAGAAATACCTTTTGGTAAAAACCTATAATATGCTTAGCTGTAACAACATCATGTATACACCTATTTCAAAAAACGTCAGATAAAATGGCAAATGTCAATTGTCGAACGGCGATTGTACGACCGAAAGTAGTCATGGGTTTTCCTTATTGAATAAAAATTACAACTGATTTATACTGTAAGATAGTCTGTGGTAAACATTGGCACCATTTAGTCTCCATTTCTATGTAAGGTGAATCAACAACAAGTGAAATATTGTTTGTCAAAACAGCGTAACCATAGTCCTTTTCGGTCGTGCAATCTCCGTTCGAAAATAGCCGTTCTCGTTTTCCCGAACAACGTTTTTTGAACTAGCTGTATATATAGCTGTATCCATTTTGAAAAAAGGTTGTACGGGATAGAATGGCAAATGTCAAACGGAGATTGCACAACCGAAAGTACCCATGGGATTTGCTAATTGATGAGAAATATTAGTGAACTGTTTTATACTGTATAAACTGTGGTAAACATTTTTTCCTTTAAGTTTCCACTTCACACAAGGTGACCCATGCAAGTAACATTTGTTACTCTTTTCGAYAATCGGAGTTCTTCCTGATCGATGGAGTGAACTAGAAGAAAACTGAATTTTTCATGCATATTCTTGCTCGAGTTCCACTTTTGCCTGGAATTGCRCACACGGTATGTGCGTTCAGTTGTTGACAACTACAATGGTCAACTTACTGATTTTCGCATTGAATCTCAGCTTTAGAGCCTCGTGTGTTGACGAGATGGGATTGCCACAAGTATGCTCGCCAAGCATACAATATGGGAATACGATACATTGGAGGATGTTGTGGATTCGTTGCGTATCATATTAGAGCCTTAGCTGAGGAGGTAATGTTTACTCAATGATAATACGCCATTGTTCAGATAGTGATAGTTTGTACAGGCTTTTTACTCTTAGATCGGGTCGATGAAATCCACTGAATAGGCTTGTTCAAAACAAATGAAGAAAACAAAAGACAAAAAGTGCCATTGTTCWTTGTTTAACGACACTGCCAATCAGAAAATTCGTTCCGAGAGAGCTAAAGACCTACCCCTTAGATCTAAGTAGAGATTGGGGAGAGAGCCAGCAATCACTTAATACTTAATCTGCTATGATTTCAGCTTGCAAATGAACGTGGACGTCTTCCTCCTGGAAGTGYTAAACATGGGCTATGGGGGGAGGGGCTATCCAATTATTCTGATGCTCACATGAAGAAAAAGTAAGTACAACATGATATTATATTTTTACATTAAAATGTAGAAAATTTAACATGTTCACATTCATTGATTTTGATTAAAATATTTTGCATTTTGTAGAGCGAATCGAGAGTTTTGGGAGAACCTCCATCCAGCGACTGGTAGACCATTTTCACCTGCGCTYTCAACTCCAATGACAGATCAACAAACGATGATGCAACAAATGAATATGACAAAATAGTTTTTTATACAATTTCTAGAAGAAACTTAATATCGCCTGATATACGGACATTTATCGGATCGAACCAAATCATTGTGCATTATCAAAGTGTATGTAAACAAAGAAAATTAGAAACAATTCATACAACTTTCAATTTATATAAAAAGTCAGCAATAACTTAACAAGATTTCTATGTATGTACACTATTTAGTATTTGATCGAAGACGTCCCTTTTTGGGTTGTGGGACCCTCAGGTACCTACAGAACTTCATATCGCTGTGATCAGCGTCTTTTCCTGTGGCTCGCTGTACAAATGCATCATCCCGTTCAAAGTTTCGTACTTCGACTTTTCTGACAGCTTGGTCATAGATTTTAGGAAGTTTCCAGATATGCGCTACAGGAGGCAGTTTGATAGGGAGTACTTCGCCTTCATCAAGCCATAAGTGATTATTTTTTGGAGTGTCTTGGTCGGTTTCACCTTCTTCGATCGTYTTTGGGTGTCCTCCATCTGCATGACTTGAATACTGCTGAGATACAAACTGTTTTAACTCCAGCAATGAGTAACTCGATTTGCGGCGACCRATTTTTTTGTTTTCAAAACTTGTTGTCTCTTTTGTCAACGAGTCGACTCTGTTTCGGGCATATTTCATCTTTTGAAGTTGATTTGTTTTCTGATTCTTGTCCTCTCGTAGGAAAATGTCATCAACGATGCTAGGGTAATTCACAGAGCTCACTTTTCTTCTCGGGTTGTCCGTAGAAAAGGATATTGTAGGAAGAATCAGCTGTTCAGTTTCAGAGAGTCTTCCAGTTGTCTCAGCTAAAGAGTTTCTGTAACGGAGAACTTTGTTGATCTCGCCATCRAGTCGCGAACCATGATTTGACTTYTGTTTTTCAATGTCGTTAATCTGCTTGCTCCAGTTTTTGTTCAGACCAAAGTTCTGTATTGAGAGTCTTCTATTGAGATTTTTATTCAGGACGGTAGGCTGTTTTTCTAAATCATGATACTGGTCCATTACGCAAATGAGTATTCTAGAGTCGGCTTACTGAAGTATAACCACAAGTTTGTACTTAAGCCGATTCGAAACCAAACTAAAACTTTCTTGGCTCATCATAAAAATACAAAGTAAAACCCCAGCATATAATGGAGTTTTAAAAGGAGTTGTTGAATTGATTTGGGAAATTTTACTCGGCTTACAAAGTGAAGTGGCCTTCTTGCTTTGCATAAGCGGTAACAGTGATTGACGAACCTGACAGGTATTATAAATCAACTTAAAGGCCCTAATYATCGGACTTTTGTGAAACAAAACCACTTCGTTAAAAACAAAAGTTCTTTTGTCCAGCGTCAAAGTGTTAAGTACCACTAACTATCAAGTCAACAAATCAAAACAAAGCAATTTACAGCCAGTCAGTCGATCATGGCTGTTAACAAGCTGTCAAAACGGACTTGACTTGCATGTTATCGATCTTCATTGTCAAGAAATGTTTTCAAAAGCGTTGAATGCGTATTTATTGGCACACAGAATTACAGTTCAATTTAGAATATTTTACAAACAAAACTAGCTGTCGTCAAGCATTTTAAGGTCTGGAAGTTCCATGTAAAATAAATTGATTTTATACCSCCACAAAGCATTTCCCAGGCCTTACCGTGCTTGAGAATGAATAAAGASAGGAATTGTAAACCAGCTCATATTCTGAATTCACTGTGCGATAAATCGATGTGGTTTTAAGAAAGATTTTAATCTTTCAAAAGTAGATTTTAACCAYCTGACATTTCCATGACACTTTAAGGTTAACACTACAGTAGGCGGGTTTGTACGTGAAGTCATTATTTTTTGGGGATTAATACCA